AACAATACCATAGTCCCTAATTTCTCACAACGCTATCATGAAGATGACCTCTTTGATATTTCAAGCACCTTCTGGAACTAACATTTAGGCAGGATAATTGTTTGCGCTGCCCTGAAGATGAACTCTGGTTGCCGCTCAACTGTATCAAAAATTTAAGAGATCAGGAGCAGAATCCAACATTCAGAATCATCACTCAGACAGACAGAGTCACAATTTGATTTAGCCGTTAGCTACAGACCACACCGTTGATGTTACAAAGTTTAAACCTTCAAAATACGTAAAACCTGCAAAGAATCTATTGCCCATTATATTATCCTTATGGATGTAGTGTAGGAAGACACTTGCACATGTCCCAAACAGGGTTTTAGAGGAAAAATGAAAATTCAACACAACTGTGGCTATTTCCTCAAGCTCTAAAGTCTGCAAGTGTCAAATTTACACTTTTCTTCAACCAAGTTATTTCTCTCAATGGATCTTGTCACTGTGACAGGGACTGAAAAGCACTTAATTTCTCAGGAGAAAACTTGGTTAGATAGAAATTGTGTCCTTAACAACGCCAGATTTGTAGGAGTTGAGAAGCAAAATTTTAAGAGAGTTTTTAACAGGAAAAGTGTCCTCCCTTGTCAGTTAAATACTGGATGAGCTGGACTTTGCTTCTTTATAATACAGCCTAAGGCATTACACAGGCAAAGAGGATGGAGAAATCATCTTTTTCCCACAGGAAAGCTGAAACATTAAGTTAGTTTTTGTTCCCACTTGCTGTTTTCGTGATATGAAAGTACTGGTTTTCTCTGGAGTGCCTCCCAATTTTCTATTTTACTGACTGTTTTTATTTCCTACACCTTCCTCACATTATTAACTACTTTTCCCTTTTAGATGGGGTGCGTTTGAATGAAGTGCTTTTCAGACTTTGTCAAAATGAAGAGATTTTCTCCACTTACAGCTTATCCAGACTGTAGAAATTGTCCTATAGAATAGCAAATAGACTTGTAAACACTAGAGGTCAAAACAGACCCCCAAAGCTCATCGCAAAGGCATTTTTCTGTGTTTGTGCATCTTGCCAGGATCAAAATTATTCCATTTCAATGTTTCATATGATGATAAGATGCCTCTCCTGAAGCTGTAGTCACTCAACAGCCCTAGATGTAGGCTACTGGAAGAATAAGTCAAAGCAGGATACTGATGGAGTCACTGAGAATTTTGTAGTGATGCTTAAAGCTTTAAAGTCCATAAGTTTGACGCCAGGGAAGAATTTTCTCCCATGTCCAAACAGAATAAGTTTCGGCCAAGGACATATTTCATATCGTCGGTTCCTTTTTGCTCAAAGCCATCGAGCACTGCCGGCTTCTCTGTTTGTTCTGTTCTCTTCCCAAGTGTGATATTTGCAATGTGTCCAGTTAACTGAAACTGCAGACTCACACAAACATTGTACTCGCAGGATCAGTCTGTACGTAGACTCAGCCTTAAAGGCTAAAGAGCCTCAGACAGACAAAATAACAAATTTAGGAAAAAACCCAACAATATTTGTAAGATCTGACTACACCTTCAAATTAGAGTTTGGGGTTTTCCTATGAAGTATCCTAACAGAATTGTTCGCAAAGCTGAAGGTCTTCAGTGTCTCTGCGCTGGAACTCTTAAGAAAACCTCTGAGAGTGTCAAGAAGATGTTGACGTTGTTTTAGATCGGCACATCAACTAGATGTTCCAACATTAGAGATATCAAAATAATCCAAATCACACTCCCTAGATTTGACTGGAAATCAACCCTGTTTAGTGCTGGTGTCTCTGTGGGATCATTAAAGTACCATGGGTGGAACAAAATTGGTCAGCTGGAAAGTTATAGATGTTGAATGAATATTTGCACAGACTCTTTGCTGATCTTTTCACACTTGTAGAATATTTAAGATAAACCACAACAATGCCAATGATTCAGATGGGAGAAATGGTATTGTTTTTTCAGAACATCTCACCATTATAAATGTACTGTGATCACCTAATCTCCGTAGCTCACTATGAATAAACCATCATGACAATTTCTCATTTGTAAATTTCTACCTTGAATTTTTCAAATGTTAAGTATACTTCAGAAAGGAATTGTTTGTACTATAGATGAAAACTTTTGAACCTAACAAACAAAAGCTAAATGATATAGTACAAGCATGAGAACCATTATCAATATTTGATATTAACTTTGTAATTGCTGTTGTCTACAGACCATGGAAGCCATTGATGGTGGGAAGCTTTTTTCCAATGCCTACCTAATGGATTTAGGTGCCTGTGTCCAAACATTACGCTACTTTGCAGGCTGGGCTGATAAAATCCATGGGCGTACTATTCCAATGGGTGAGTAGTTTTGAGATAACAAAAGTACAGAACTAAGCCAATGTGATCTGTAAAAACATTCCTTATTCTAAAAGTTGTGCAACTTCTATTCTAAACGTTTTTTCACAAAAAACATCTTAAATAGAAAATATTTTAGATAGTTCGTAATATAGGTTATATAAGATTTATGGTAGTGTTCGTTTTAAACATTTGATGCGTTTATTCACATTTAATTTTTGTTCTATACACCACTAAAAAGTGTTATTTATTAACCAAAAGATTCTAGCCTGTATGAACATCTAAGAAATCTGGTAGGATACTTTTGCATAGCAATATATAGTTTATGTAATGGTACAGTAATGAAAACCAGGTATTTGCTTAATAAAGCTGAGATTAGCACAAATGAATATTTGTTTCTGTTGTTGTATAATGTGTTAGGAAGAGTGCTAACTGATAGGAATGAGGGAACATTCTTTTATTTTCATGTAATTCCATGAAATTTTATTTCATTCCCTCTCCTGTTAAGCAGCTCTATGAAAACATTGTTTACAGCTGCCTTCTTTCAGAAGGACAAAGAAAAGAACGGTAATAAAGAAGGAATTAAGGAAAACTAGAGTGATAAATACTTCCAGCTTCTTTGCATCATGTATATCTCTATACGAGGTTTAACTGAACATGTTTATTTGAATCAAAGAGAATTTTATACTTAATGGATTTGATTTGAGCTAAGATCTAATATTAAAAAAAATGTCTGATACGTACCTAGGATTGCAAGTAGCTTTTAAAAGAACACTTTCCAAAACAAAGGTGATTAAAAAAACAGACCTGAGGAACTCATTGGTGTGCTGTGCATACTATATTGAGAAGCAGAGTTATCACTGCAAAAATAGTCTGACTGGCAGAATCAAACCTTGGGGCTATGAAGAAAGTAGATATTGAATCCAGATGTACTTTGTGGTCTTTTTTTGCATAGTTAAGATTTTGCAAATATAAGTAAAGTTATACCCAGTTAAGTTTGATATCCAACTTTATCTTCTTTCTGGTTTAACTCTTTCTGACAAATACTTTGTCTGAATGTTTAATTTATTTCTTCTTCCCCTAGATGGAAACTTTTTTACCTTTACAAGACATGAGCCTATTGGTGTGTGTGGCCAAATTATTCCTGTAAGTTGGAGCCATTTATGTAAAACAAATATTCCTGTTACAAATGAAAATGCTTTTCAGATTTTATCTATGCAAGTGCAAGTGAAGCATTACCAATCAGAAACTTTCAGGTCCTGAAAGACAGAGACCATCCTGAGTACTCATCCAATTCTGCAACATGGAGTGTTTGATGAGTCAGTCTGGTCCAGCCTTGTCTCTCTCCTCCTTATATATGTAAAAAAAGGGAAAATAAATCTCAAAAGATTGACCGACGGATTAGTTTGAAAGACAGAATTGTGTTTTGTTGGAACTGAAAGAATTGGAGATAAACAAATAGAAGAGGGTGATATTTACAGCCTATAAGCAATAAGCTCTTGAGGCCCCGGAATATCTGTTCTGCTCTGTACATCCAGCATCCAGACAGCTGGATCTTGATTTATAACTGAGATTCATTCACCGTGTTGATGGTACAAGTAACAACACAAAGAATGTGTCCAGTAAGCACAGTGACACTGAGCTGTATGTTCCCAAGCTCCTGTTAGGAGTGTCTAAATTCCCAGTTTTGAAGTCACTTTCTTTAAGTGAAGATTCAAAAGGCCTGCCTGAGTCTGAACATCCACATCACTGAGGAACTTAACTTTTAAACTTACTAGTGAGGTCTACACAGCTTCAGTGGGTTGTTTTGAAAATGTTTATGTGCACAATATGCTCCTCATCCACCCACCTCTTTGCACATGGTAGGTATGAGCAGCCTGACCTGACCTGCTCAACAGCTTTCCAGATTCTGAAACAGGCAGCTTGTCTGTGAGGGTTACTCAGACATGTGGATCCCAGAGAGGTTCCTGATGTCTTTCAGCTGAGCTTGCAGATTTGCTATCTCTTCAGACCACCACATCGATTTAGGGAACATCACTGGAATATGTTTGGATCCAGCCTCCAGGAGAGCTTGGGAATCTGCTGGTTGAGATTCTCTTGTAGGTCAGGCACAAGGTATTTCAAGTAAAGCACTCAGAATTGAGATACACTAAAGAAATAGAAACACACTATATGGCCACTTTTAAATAAAATTCCATCCTGGAAGTATAAGCAGTTAGTAAAAATACTGGCTTCCCTTAAAAAATGTTTAACAACTTCTGAGTATGTCCTTGTTTTCTCTCCATTGAAATGTGAACACACTGAGGTGGAGGTTTTTACATAAACCAAAAACTTTGAGGACTCTGTGAGTGCTGCGACAGTTTTTGCTGACTCACCACTTCCCTTCTGCTCACACAGTTCGACTTTAATGATGAAGATAATTCCATGATCCCTCACTTTGTGTTGTTTGTGCTCCTGTTATTTTTGGGGGTGGGGTGAGTCTGAAATGAGATAAGGAGGAAGATAAAGAACAGTTGCATGTATACTCCTCCAAGCCTTTCTGGTGTCATAGGTAACTGTTAACTGCCTTTTTCCCCACTTTCATAAAGATTAAGGCACGCTGCGTCTTTTCTGCTGAGGTTCATGATCTCAATGCTTCCAAAACTTTTAGAAATAGCCTCAAAGGGGCAGCTCATTTTTCCCCCAGCAACATTGCCCCTCATACTGCTGAATCTGGGGTCCAAAGGAGTCCGTTGCTCTGCAGTATGGCTCCACTGACCTCAACAGAGAGCTGCCGGTGAAACCTCCAGGGAAGAGGGCAGGGGCAGCATCACGTTACTGTCTTGTCTCCCTTAGAAACCTGAATTGATGATGGATGTGAACATTTCAGTGAAGAAAACTCCCAATTTCACCACTATCCAGCAACTTTCTATAAGGCTTTGTTAGAGAAGTGCATTATGTTCTCTTTAGGTTTTAACTAAAACCTTGGGTCCCCTGGATTCACATATACCAAAATCACTGATCTTTCTATGACATGGCTTTGCCAGTTGCTTTGTCAAAATATCTTCATTCTGAAAAGAGTTCAACGAAGAGTTCTGCCACCCAGTCGACAATATGCGCTATTACCATAGAAAAAACAAAGGCATTTTGGTGATGTTTTAGAAATAGGATACACCTTCTCTTCTGTCTTTCAGTGGAACTTCCCGTTGATTATGTTTGCCTGGAAGGTAGCCCCTGCCCTTTGTTGTGGAAACACGGTGGTTGTCAAGCCAGCAGAACAGACTCCACTGACTGCCCTTCACATGGGATCCTTAGTTAAAGAGGTGAGTCGTCTACAACAGTTTTTTTCCCCTCTCAGAAATGTAAGAGTGTGCTGCGGCAGAAGTGCCGCAGAGGTAATATAAGCCAGGCTGTCCTCTGCAAGGACTTCTCATTGCATGTCCAGCCTTGTACTATGGAAATTACCTTACTGTATATCAGTGAAGCAAATCCAGGGCAAAAGCATCCCTATTGTTCAGCCTACTTCACATACGCAAAAATGCACAATAGCAGTTTAGTACCCCCCATTCCTTGACAAACGTGTTTGTATTACAAAAGCACAGCACATTTCAAAGTCAAAAGCAAACAAGGAGTCAAGAGCAGAGTACTTAGAGGTGGGTGGCAATGGCTTTATTAATATAGTTATGACAGAAAAGGACCCGTTTGTACAGTTAATTATTATTTTTCAATTGAACAAACTTTTCACCCAGCTGCATTTATCATTAACAGGGAGCTGTAAAATTGAACTGGTAGCTGCTGCCAAACTCGTGAGCTCTCTTCATGCAGAGACTGGGAGGACGCACTTTGTGCTTTTGAACAGTCATTTCTCCAGTGTTCCCAAAGTTCTATGGGCCGTCGTGCCCAACACAGCAAACACACAAAGGACGGTTAAATAGTTTCACTATCTTGCTTCCCAATAAAATCAACAAATGTAATCTCACATTGGTCGGCACAGAGGTCAATAATCACCAGTGCAGAGTGTTAATGGCAATGACTCGGCACATTTTGTTATTCCGCATCAAAACTATGACTCATACTGAGCGTGCTGACCGGTTATGAATTAATATTTCACAGAAACTAAACGGCTATCTGGAAGGAGCAAAGTCCTGCTATTATTGCATCACATGGTAAATGCTATTAGATAATACTGGGGAGGAGTTGTTAATTTTTAACAATTACCAGAAAGTATGTTTCTCTGAAAAAGCAACTTTATAGTGGAAGTACCTCAGATCTGCTCAGAATCTAATGAAATATCTATTCTGATTTCCTGAAAGGAGGGCTCATAAGTGGGAATGGGACCAGTGGTCCATTTTGTATGCACACTTAAAACATGTACAGAGTGATAATGACTGGTGTAACACCAGAGTATTTTCAGTAAAAGACAAGATGATTCTCATTTTACCCGTTCGTTCAGTGTTCAACTGGATGAGAAGCTCAAGTATAGAATTGTTAAATGTCTTTTATGTATTGTCTGGTAGATACTGTGGATCTTTAAAAAAGACAAATGTCTTTAAAGATTTGTTCACCCAAACACAGTGGAGTTTTAATTTACACCCACATTACCCAAATAAAGTCAGAGCCCAAATCCCTGAGTGATTAAAACCTCAGTGATCACTTCAGTAGCTGCTTTAGACTTGTTGTGAAATGATCTGATTATCTAATTTCAGTCTCTACTTCTCAAGTGTCCACATTTTAAAAAAATATAGTTACTTTTGGTAATCCTCACTGTCTTTCTTCATAGTCTCCACAAGACTCCTTTGCTAATATGTAGAGAAGAGCTTCTAATACAGACGTGGAAATTAAGTGCCCAAAGTGAGACAGTGTGAATTAGTGCCATAAAAAATATTCTTCTCACTTTTCTCTACAAATTAAGTATGAAACACAATGCTAAGCCAAAGGAAGGAACCTCATTGTCTCATCAATTCCAGGGCAAATGTTAATCTGGAATATGAGGTGAGCATAGACTGTGTCTGAGCATGAACCTGTAAGGAAGCAAAGTTAATTGAAGAAAAGTAATTGTCTAGTGCCCATTACACAGGACATAGAGGTTTAGGAGTTGTGACACCAGCTGAAATTCACCATTTTCCAAATGTAAACGGAACCTTTGCATGTAACTCCAAAGTCCTCTTTAATGCTAAGAAGAGGCTCATTAAAGTCATAACACAAGAGATGCATTTTTTTGGTCTTTTAATTCTATGCTTGCTCTGAGGCCCCATAGCTGCTTCATAAGCCATCAGGAAATCCAGTCACACCTCACCAGTCTGTGGGAGTTTGCCTGACAAGCTGGTGGAAGAAATTAACTTATCTGCCTGTGAATGGAACACAATTAATACAGAATTGGTGGGAAACGATAGGTTTGAGTTGGCCCAAAGGAAAAGCCTCTTTAAGTATCTTCAAGATGCTGGAACTGTGCCTATCTCAGGTAGTCAACTTTTACTTCTTGGTGGCCCATTTGCCTCTTCTGTGCTGTAAGCTCTCATCTTATCCATTTTCTACTTTCAATCCACGTCCACAGTCAGAAGCAAAGACATTGAGTTTAAAGTACTACTCCCATCCTTTTTCTTAATAGAATTTCAGTGTAAGTCACCAGATCATTAATTAAATTCCATCTAGTGTGAGGGATAATGAGCAAAAGTCAGCAAGCACACAGGATGATGACTCAAATAGCTTTAGTGAAGAAGACATGAAAGTAAGCAATATTTTCTTTACATATTTGACAGAGGAGAAAAGAAAAAATAAATTCATTCCTTGGTAATGGCACGTAAAAGGAACTAAAATAAAATGTTCACTTTTTTTTTTTTAAAAAAGAGCCAATTCAATAGTTTAAAAGACACGTGAGGGAAAGAGGATATAAATCATGTGAGAATGAACACGTTTGGGGCTCGAGGGCTGAGAATAACTGTATGACTGAGAAAAGGTGGCTGGAGAACTGAAAAGGGAAGTAAGACTGTGAGACACGTTCTTCGAGTCATTGTCCTTCCTCAGATTTACCAGGTTCTCTCTTCCAATTCAGGCAGGATTTCCACCTGGAGTTGTGAACATCGTGCCAGGCTTCGGCCCCACTGCTGGAGCAGCAATTTCTCACCACATGGATGTAGACAAAGTGGCTTTTACAGGCTCTACAGAGGTACTATAATGAAGGCATGAAAACATAAGCAGGAAATGTGCCCCTCTGATTCTCAATAATGATTTAATGTCTAACTTGTTTTATGTAACTGTTTTAGTTTTTTTTTTCTTTTGGCTGCTGTTTAATGATTTGTTGGTTATTGTTAACTTTAAACATATTTAAACAATGTTTATATTGCAGGAAAGCCCTTCAAACAAAGGCACTCCATGAGAGACAATAAGTTCTAGCATACCAAGGCTATTTTTAAGTCCTGTTCTTTAAAAAGAAAACATTTTCATAACTGTTTGTTGGCTTCTTTTTTTAAGAATAATTATTTTTAAAAATGCAAATGGTGAAACAGTCTGTGCTTCATTCTTTTTAATAACAACATGATGGTAGAAAGGTACTTCAGAAATTTCATTCCTGGTTCTGCACACACTTAGGTCAGGTGATGGCTTTTTGGTATTTGAAGGATACTGAAGATCATCTGTGTGGTATTAGAAGTGTATCTGAATGTATATCAGTTTAATAATTGAGAGGAAGGTCACTCTTAATTTTCCCTACCTGTCACTCTAAAGAAACGTGAGCGATATGATCAAAGATTTCTCAATGCAGGCATTGTATGACTATATCCTTAACACAGGACATTGTATTATCTGTCTATATGCACACCACGTGGAAGAGCTACCAACTGGTCTCTTAACTGCTTGGACATACACTCCAAAGATAACTATCCTTGCCTCGTGTAAAGGATCAGTATACACTGGGTACAGGAGTGATGCCGACTGTTAGAAACCTTTAGCTCTCAACTAATGGGAAAACAACCCAAAACCCCCACATCTGAGAAATAACCCACAGATGTTCCCAATGGACACTAACAACTACAATTCCCAGAGCCCCACATCCCTCCAAAGGCAGGTGGACCAGAGGGTGTATCTGTAGGTTTTGGTGACTGTCCTCTTCTGACAGTGTAAGTTATCAGCGAGAAATGAAGGCAGGAGAGCTGCCAGAGGAAGGAAGCTCTCTGATGGTCGCTACACACCAGCAGTTACAGACCACGAGCACAAGGGCTACAAGCATGTTTGCCCTTCACCGTTTTTCCAGGACAATCCATTTTAAGCAGCTCCTTTAATTCTGCAATCAATGGAAAGAAGCAGGGTGGGGGTTTTGCCTCTCTCCTAAGGGAGAAACTGGAACAAGGAAGAGTTGAGCAGGCAGTGCGGACAGCTGCTTGTTCTGTCACACATTTTGTGCATCAAAGGGCTTTGCCATGTATAAAACAGAGGAATTCCAACCTAACGGGAGTAACTGGCAGAGCAGAAATCAGTGCCCACTTTCAATTACAGATACAAGCAAGTAGAGTGGTGGTAACCAGAAAAGCACCAGACATCTTTGGCAGTTAAATGAGTGTGTCCAGGGAAAGCACTCCTGGTTGGTAGACCAAAGTCACCTGCACCCTGACTCTTCTTTTCAATTAGTGTTTTTTTTTTAACTTTATTTTTCATTTCTGCAATTACTGGAATAGTAGACAGCTGAGAAGTGATTTTTAGTTTTCAGGAACTCAGAGAAGTATTATTGATGTCATAATAACCTTTTTGGGATTAAGGCGTCCTCTCCTTACCTTTTAGGTTGGAAAACTGATTAAAGAAGCAGCAGGCAAGAGCAATCTGAAGAGAGTTACTTTGGAACTTGGAGGAAAAAGTCCTAACATTATATTTGCAGATGCAGACTGTAAGTAGCATTTTTCTTATACAAATCTACTACTTTTTCAATTCCCATCTTCTTTTTTTTTCTTTGTCTATACATTATTTGTATCTGTTTAATGAAGGAGCAACTTTAAATGTTTTCTGCTCACACCACAGTTTTAGGTTAGATTGCCATCAAAAATTGTTGGCTCTTGAATGGGTGTGAACCATTAGGATTTATTAACTTTCTAGCTGAATACCCCTCTTCGTACTGCTGATAGGGCAAATAATGTTGAAACAATATTTGACATAGAACAGCTGGATTGTCTGGGTGTGCTGTGCTTCTCTTGGTAAGAGTAGTGTTGGACATAAGTAAATGGATGAATATTTGTGTTTTAAAGGGCCATAAAACCCAAAAGTGCTAAAAAGGGAAATGAGATGATGAGACAAAAGTTTGTAAAGAATTGATGATACGACCATTCAAGTTTACGATCTGATGAACTCTGCGTTTCTTTGCAGTGGACACCGCTGTGGAATCGGCACATCTTGGTCTGTTCTACCACCAGGGACAGTGCTGTGCAGCAGGATCTAGAATATTTGTGGAAGAGCCTATTTATGATGAATTTGTTCGACGGAGCATTGAACGAGCAAAGAAGTACACTCTTGGGAACCCTCTGTTGCCTGGTGTGCAGCAAGGCCCTCAGGTAAGTAATTTTACACTTTTCCCATATAATTGTGACACGACAGCACAGTTTAATGTACTTCTAAAGCTGTTGCATTAGTTTCAAGACAAGGTACAGTTGTCTAGTGCTTAGTCTGAACGACCAGGAGGAAGAAGCTGGAGTGATGGTTGGTTGTGCCACTGTCATAGGCTTAAGGGTGAGGTTTCTCTCTCTTTCACAGTTTCTTTTATGATGGAATGGAAACAATTACATAGAACTGAAATGCTTTGAGTAAGCTCCAATGCACAAGCTGTAAAAGTGCAAGTACGATCACCTGCACTGAAGATTGCTAAATTCTACAAATTCTATCCACATTATATTCAAATAGTGCTACTGTAAGAGAGTAGCTTGAGAAAATAAGATTTAATAGTGTCTTTTTCTCCTTTTTCAAGGTGTTGATGTTTCATTATATCACTTTCAGTTTTAGAATATTGCACAATTAAAATACATCATTTCGTATTTTTTTTCTGCTTATGTTAAAAAGTTATGTCAAGAGTTTCCCCATTAAACGAATGCTAAAATGCAACATTAAAAAGCAGTGCTGTCACAATGCTGTGGATTCAGTGGATCACATTAGAGCACTGTTAAATTAGTTTTCATCTGGAGTCTTATTCCCGTATGAACTTGTACTGCAGGATATACACTTTATTGGCAGAGCTATTATGCAGGGCTCTCCAGCACCTCCACTTCGGCACACGCAGTTGAACAAAGCTGCAATATCGTTAGGGTTTGGTTAATGAGTTAGAAGAACAGTTGTTATCAGTGTGTGCTGTTTCATCCCTGTAGTATCTTTTAATTTAGATCGATCAGGAGCAGTTTCAAAAAATCCTGGATCTCATTGAGAGTGGGAAAAAAGAAGGAGCCCAACTGGAATGTGGAGGAGGTCGATGGGGAAACAAAGGTTACTTCATCCAGCCCACGGTTTTTTCCAACGTCACAGATGATATGCGCATCGCCAAAGAAGAGGTGAACAAATTCTTGGCACTCTGTGCTCTCACTGGAGATTGTTAGTTTAAATTTCTGTACAAAATACCCATTTAGAAGGTCAAGTGGCTACATAAAAATGCTTTCAGTAAATCTGTCATTCCTTTCTGGTGGTATTTACAATGCTTTTCTTGGTTTCTGATGTCCATTTACCAACTCAGTGGAGGTGAAAGGAGTATGAGGTTGGCCAGCCAACAAAAGCTCCAGCTTAAGCAAGCAGTAGAGAAGAAATGCTGAGTTTCAGGTTGTTTACATCACCCTGTCCTGTCCATGTCTCACATATTGGAGTTGCAGTAACCTGTAACAGAGAAGTAAACCTTGAAGACACAGCTTGTGAACTCTTTGCACTGCCTAAGGAGCCACTTAGAGTTTGGACAAGACGCGCACCTAGCAGCTACTTTGCGATAAATTAGTTGGACTGTGTTTCCACAGGCGTGTTGTCGGTGGCAATTCCAGCAAAGCAGTTTTACCTCCACAGGGTAATTGAACCCAGATGAGTTTGCAGATGTGTCTACATAATGTTGAAGGAGCTTTTATTGACCGAAGTAAGGTGGCAGTGATAAAGCAGCAGAGAGCTGTGAAACAGGAGAGAGCTGTATGAGAAATAATGTGGATTGTTTCTGCTGGTCTGGGAGGCAGTTAGGAAACTGCAGAGTTCTCTTTCTTCAAGGATTTGTTGGTTCCTTTGGGTCAGCAGTACAAGTACACTATTTGGAGTGTATTGAATAATGACACCTCAGAGAGCCAGGGCAATTTAAGGAATATCCAGGTTCTGAAGCTCACAGCTTGAACAGTGGAGGAACGTTCAGTGGTTTTCTGATCTATATAAATCCATTCCTGTAACTCTAGTTAGAAACCAACACTAAACACTTTCCAGGAAAATCAAGTGGAAAGCTGGTGATCTATGGGAAGGTGAGAATTGAGAGGTGATGCCCTCCTGCCCTGCACAGCCTTGGCACTGTGTAGTGGGCATGGGCACCTCTGGCTGAGAGCACAGAGTGGGGGTGACGCGAAAGCCAAGCCTGAGGGATGATTATCTCACATAACACTCACAGAGAAAGCAGAATTGGTTGTTGCCTCATTGTGTGGCTGTCTGCAGAGATAAAAGTCTAACAGAAAGTTCAGGGGAAGGACAAGTTGAATGTCTTAACTCTAAAACTGGAGCTGACCAATAAAATACCAGTTCCTTGGTAACCAGTATAGATATGTAACACTGTGACTCCACACTAATTGATTTTATGGTGGGTGTCTTTTCATCTTTATGTATTTGTTTTCATCATCTATTATTTCATGTATTTATTTATTGTTTTATTAATCGTTTTAAGATAGCTATCTTGATTTACTTCATACTACAAAAAAATCTTGTATTTATGTGGATTTATGGTCCTTATTAGAACTCTGTTCTGAGATGGACGGACACTCTTGACTGAATGAACTCAGGAATAAGGCCATGTGACAGAAATGAATTTTAAAAATAGAAATTATTTACAATAGTGAGCTATACTAGTCCACTTCATACGTTTATCTGTGTCTGAAACAGATATTTGGACCTGTTCAAC